CAATTCTTAGAGGAAATCATGAAAGCCGGCAAATAACTCAAGTGTAAGGCTCTGTTGCTTCTTGTTTACAGACGAGCATCAATCTTTATGCTTGGCTATGCCGAAAAGTTAAAGTATTACGTCATTAGGAACTTTTTGTATCTGATTGTGATTCAGTAGCTCTTTTACAGTTCAGAAAATGTTCTATTCTCCTATAGGCCACACTTATTGAGTTGGATGTGGTGGTTTTCCTTGTTCAGGTGGATGTATAGTGTCTTCATTTTACCAGCAAGGCTGTACTATATGTATTTGCAGAAGAGATGTGTGTGACATGTAAACTTGCTGATGTATGGAAGTATATGTTATACTTGCATGAACAATAAGATTGCCTTTCATCTTCCTACTTTTTCCTTTTTTTTGTTTAATGCCCTATCTATGTTTTCACCTTTGAATAGTTCCTGTGTCGTTTTAGATTTCCAATTATTATTACGGTGGACCATATGACTGGAGGGATAAGTATATGAAGAATATGCAATAAGTCTTAGCTTTGTTTCAAGGTCGATATCTGGTGATGACCCCCTTTAGCTTTTTTGGTTCCTTTCAGTATTTTATCAGTCTATAGAAGTCCTTGGATGCTTGTCCTTAGTGACCTAGCAATTTTTTTTTTTCAGATGGAATTGGTGGTTTAAAGCTGTTAATATGCTATTTAGATTCTGATCCTTGTAATTGTTGATACTCTTTCCCTTTGTCCATGAAAAGACAGGTTCAGATTCTTTATCTTTCTTTTTGTTAGCTAAAACATGAAATTTGATTCATGTAGACCGATAAATTATGTTAAAATTTAATTTTTCAAGGACATTCCGGCTTTATTTTGCTCTTTTGGAACTTTTTAATTTACTGATTATTTTATCCTGGCTGCCATTTATTTATCTTAATGTGATAATCTGATTTCTTTGTAATTGACCTTTCAGGTATGGTTTTTATGATGAATGTTTAAGGAAATATGGAAATGCAAATGTCTGGAAGCACTTTACTGATCTTTTTGATTATCTACCTCTGACAGCTCTTATTGAGAGTCAGGTTAGAGTTTATATTTGTTATTTTTAGTGCTTTGGATTATGATTAATGAGTTTGTTAAGTTTAATGTATTATGCCGCATTGTAGGTTTTCTGTTTGCATGGAGGCCTTTCACCCTCTTTGGACACATTGGACAACATCCGAGCCTTGGATCGTATACAAGAGGTATGGTGGTGATAGTTGTTTTAGCTATTTGAGTTGGCAGGTTCTGCACAGGGTTGTTGTCTTTTGGATTTCTTGCTGTGCCTGCATTTTTCTTCTAGTGGAAGTTCTTGAAATGCTTAGTACTTTTTCTTTCTGGTCGAAAAACGAAGCATGTGTATATAGATCTTTGGATGCAAATATTGGATATTGATTTATTGGGCTGATTATAGACTTATTTTGCTTGTGTTGATTTTGTTTCCTCTCTTGGTTGTGTAGGTCCCTCATGAAGGACCTATGTGTGATCTGTTGTGGTCTGACCCTGATGATCGGTGTGGTTGGGGGATATCTCCTCGTGGAGCTGGCTATACTTTCGGGCAGGATATTGCCGCTCATTTCAACCATACCAATGGACTTACTCTTATCTCCAGAGCCCATCAGCTTGTGATGGAAGGTTTTAATTGGTGCCAGGTCTGTTAAAACCCAAATTCTGAAACATGGATAAATTTTATTTTCCTCACAGAACTTCAGTTATCTTGTGATTTTACTTTCTAAATGAGCTGGAATTTTACAGGATAAAAATGTAGTGACAGTTTTTAGTGCTCCAAATTACTGTTACCGATGTGGAAATATGGCAGCTATACTTGAGATTGGGGAGAATATGGAACAGAACTTCCTTCAATTCGACCCTGCACCTCGACAAATTGAGCCCGACACCACTCGCAAGACCCCTGACTATTTTTTGTGATTTCAATAGCTCAACTGGCTGTTTGTAAAACTCTTTATCCTCGTGTTGCTGTAGATTTATTTAAAAGAGGATTTTGGTTGTTTGAGGATCAGTGTCAGCATCATTCTTTGCTTTGGAGTGGTCTTTTGCTACTGCTGTCATTGCTCAAGATATCCACAGTATTGATGAAGATTCCAGTAGTTTATTTGTATATTTTTCAGCGGGAAAGCAAGTAGCAGCAGTGACGATGGCAATATATTATTGTAATTTTACAAATTCAAGTTAAAAACAGGGTTTTCAATGTGGTCACTTGGTCCCATTTTTTGCCAACTTCTCGAGGGCGGATGGAATGTGCGGTGGATGATAATAAGCAGTAGGGCTTGGGTTCCAGTGGCGTAGCTGTTCAAATCTCCCAGATTTTGAACTTGAAGATCGTGCTGCTCATGTTAGTCTGCAGCAGTTTTATTTTTGAATGTTTTGATTATTCAAGTATACCTCAGAACTTGTTCAATTTCATTATGAAGCATATTTTTAAGTATCTGCTGTTGTGAATTCATGTTCATTTTGTATTGGACTTCGTAAAGTTTAGTTTAGCTTGATTAGGTTTGAATTTATGTAATTTTGTTGTTCGAACATGAGCATTCTAAGGATGATACGGGGATATTGCAGAAGCAAACAATATAGGAATCAAAATTTTTGAGCCACAGTTCAGCATCCTCTAATTCAATGTGTATTTTTTTTTTTTTTTTTACCAAAATTCATTGTGTCCTGACTCTGCTACATTGTACTCCGTACCATTGTATGGAATAGTTTAGGACTCCATGATTTTACTATAATACTAGTTCGTGGTTGAGTTGCTAAAGCTTCTTTAGGTAATTAGGTATCCTGCATTTGACCCAAATGTTTATGCTCTATTAGGACTGTTACCAACTTTCACATCTTTCCCTTGTAGTTTCTTTGTTTCTTTAGTGTAATTTGGAAACTTTGCACTGTCTTAACCGTTACTATTATTAAACCTTTGCACATAGTTTTTATGTGATAATGTTAAAAATTATAAGTTGGGAGTAGTAGTTGGGTGGATTAGTTATCACTCCCTGATTCAATCAAACCCTTACCCATACAATGTTTAAGAGATTTATTAAGTTAAATTATGCATTAATTTAGGAGGTTTATCAAACGCTTACATTAGTTACATATCATATGACCTCAATAAATTTTTAGGATAGGTTATCATGAATGGATTGGTTATGAAAAAGAGAACTTATAAAAAAAATATAAAAAATAAAATAAAATAAATAAATAAATAAAATAAATAATAATAATAATAATAATAATAATAATAATAATAATAATAATAATAATAATAATAATAATAATAATAATAATAAATTACCGATGTGTGTTGTGCTACCGGATGGGTATTTCATTGTTCTCTGTCTCGACGTCGTGCTCTGCTTGTTCTTGGGTTTTTACTGAGGATATTTTCGGTGATCACGCGGTGTTGTGTGTTGTTATTGTGGGTATAAAACATCGGCATAATGTTGTCCGGGATACCCTTGTTGATATCTGCTACAGATCTGGGATTTCGGCAAGAAAGGAGGTTGACATAGGGTTGTTTGGAGGGAATGACGGGGCCCTCAGACCTGCTGATGTGTTACTTTATTCCTAAGATCGTGGTCGCGATGTGTGTGTGGACTTAACAGGGTCTTCTCCTTTGACTCAAACGGGACTATCTGACTTTGTTCCTGGACGGATTGTGACTGATACGGCTCATCGGAAGCGGGTGAAAAATGCAGCTAGTTGCTAGCTGATTGGATATGGTTTCATTCCCTTCTCCTTTTCTTCGCTTGGGGAATTAGAGAAGGAGGCTGTTGCGTTGCTGAAACGGGTTCAGAAGTTCTCGACGATGCAAGACATTGGGGCTCGTGCTACAGTTCATATCTTCACTAGGGTAGGCTTTGCTATAGTTAGAGGAGTAGAGGCCCAGATTGTATCTCGGCTTCCCACTAATTTATTGTAGGTTGTATGACTTTGTCTGTTTTTGAGATAATAATAATAATAATAATAATAATAATAATAATAATAATAATAATAATAATAGTTATAATTAATTTATCATTTATTTTTGTCATCCACTAGCTTTCCTCTAAAAGTATCTCACTGGTCCTCCTTGACCTTAGATCAAGAAATCAAAATCTGAACACTGGATCAAGCTAAGTTATTCTTTTAACTTAAAACAAATCATGTCTATACCAGAAACAAATTATAACTACGTCCATAATATAGTGGTACATAATATAGAGGTACATCTTAGCTATACGATTCATATAGATTGTGATTTGTGGCATAGGGCATAAAGTTTCACAGCGTTTCTGAAGCCTCTGCAAGCATATACCGTCAAGGTCGAGTGATTGACTACAACAAACCAATTCATAGGCTCATAGCACAATATATCTGGAGTAATCGTAAGTTGCTGCTTGAATGTGGTAGAGAAACCCCCTTCAGTTTCCATCAAGATTTTCTCTAATTTTACAAAATGATGTTATCGACTGCTTATGCATCCCAACCTCCTTGAATAAAACATATTGCTGGGAAATACACCCTCATCGTGTCTTGCTTAATTATGCAATGACTTCACCTTGGCAAGCAATCCCATATGATACTTACGCAAAGTTGGACAAGAGTCAAGCTCAAGAGCTACAGCTAATTATACATGCCACAGCCACAAACAGAAGAACAAAATCAGCCAAGAAAATATTACTACATAAAACTTACAAAGAGCCTTATAATGAACTGATAAAGGTGAGGGTTTGAAACTTTGTAGATTTGTGGGTCAAGAGCTTTCATGACAGCCTATCACAACATTTACAAGAAAAGGTAAAAGTAAAAATAAAAATAAAAAAAATGGCTTTCATTTCACTAACACAGCCGTGACCATGCCAAAAGAATTTTTTAAAACCTAGAGTTACTCTGAACCCTTGCATTTCCAATACCAGCCATCGCTACAGTTTTTTTCTGCCTGATGAATACAAATGATCCACTGACGAGCAAGAGACCCAATATAAGAACCTATTAAATAGTTTAACAAAAAATATTAGGACATCAATGGTTCAAAGTATACAGAAACAAAACAAAACCTGCATGAAAACCCTTCAGAACATATGCACAGCTACAATAATAGAGAAAAAAATTCATATGCACAGCTACTTCCAAATTTAGGATGCCAGCAAAATCTACACAAGGTTGAGGGAGAAAAAAGGTTTAGAAAATCAAGCATGCTCAACATTAAAGTACATTAACACAAAACCAGATTTGCTCCATAAAGGATAATAAAAATAAGGAGATTAGCTATACACATATCAATTAATTGTATTTATTCAACCCTCAAATATTCTCCAATTGTCTTGCTTGGACAATCCACCATTAGAAGTATCATGCAGGACTCCTATTGCTTATGCAAATAAAATCTAAGAGAAATTGCTTGAAATATACTAAGGGATCCTTCTTGCATATCAAAGGTGCCAGGGGTCTAGAAGAAGAAAGCCACAAGATGCAGGTGCTGGTTTTATTTCTGTGGATACAAAGCACAAATGCGAGCACATACAGACTAAATAAACCTGAACTAAGTCTGATCTCATCAGGTGGAATTGGTTCATGGATGCTGTCATATATAGCTTTGTTGAAGCAAAGACCTTCAAGTAAATCAGAACAAAAAGTTTGTGGCATGCTGCATGAATCAAATGGCATCCCTTCTGTCATTTTTATCGAGTACAAAGTGAAAAGTATTGTTTCACATTTTCTCACTGGTGCACTAAGAGGTCTCCCAAAAAGAGGGCATCCCTTCTGTTCTTCCTATTAACTGTATCAAGTACAAAGGGAAAAGTACTGTATCACATTTTCTCACTGATGCATTAAGACGTCTCCCACAAATAGGGCACTGGTTCCTCTCTCAAGCCCCAAATCACTTTACATTTCTGCAAGATCATTTAGAGGATCCAATACTATGGACAAAAATGATCTGCAAGTGCAACAGCCAGCATTTCGTATCTTCCTCTTGAATTCAGAGGGGGCACAATTCTTGATTGCACAATTCAGAGCCAGCATCTTGTCTTTGCAACACAACTAAGCACAATTCTCTCAACATGAAGGACACGCAGATGGCAGGTTTTTAGCATCTTTCTGCAATAATTGAGCACACCTAGTTGCATGAGATCACGTTACTTATTACTTGAGCGCTACTAGTTGACAAGGTATTTACCTAAACTCAGTGACAAAATAAAAGTACTAATCTTGTTAATGTAGATGGGATGGAAAAACATGTTCATGGATAATGGCTATTAATATCAGTCATACAACCAACAAGTTCTAGAGCTAAAGAACACACTGTCATCCAAACAAAGCTTATACCAAGTTATGAACCTTTGTCTATAAATATGTGAAAGCAAAAACACTAATACAAGAAGAATAAGTAATGCTTTGGAAGACAAGAACTGAGAGCTTATCTTCATTTTTAAAGTTGTAAAAAAAAAAAAAAAACTGAATAATAGGCAGAATTACGCACCTCAAAACCAAGAACCGAGAGCTTCTCTTCATTTACACCCTGTATACAACTTCTGTAGGTCACATACTCTAGGGGTTCACCCTTCTGACTAGAAGACTTGTCTGTTGCTAGTGTCCTGTGCTTAGTTGCAACATTGTCTGCATTAACAGATCCTTCTTGAGTAGATTGGCCATTTTGAGGGACATTACCAATTGTTTCCTTTTTCACATCTCCAACTTTGATACACTTAAAAGGAATACGATATCCAGTTTCACTACAGCGATATTTGTCATCTTTCTGTGAGAAGAACAGATATCACTTGATCAGCTGCTAGCCTGACAGCAAGCATGTTGACACCAGAAGAGCAAAGTAGCTAAGATTATTGAACTTTCTTTCACCTACTAGTGTCTAAAATCACAAATCATCAACAATTGTAGAATCATACAGTATGAATGTATGATGCTTATACCAGCATCCGCGATATTCAAATGCTCAAGTACTTGCCTCGGTCTAGTTCAAAAGCAGTTCATCATAATATATGCTACTACGATTCAAAAGATAACCACAATCCAAAATCTTTATTATAATACATAAGGAGCCACAAAGAACTCTTCCAAGAATCAACTCTTCTCTGCGCTTAATGCATAGTGATAATATTAACCTCCTAGCCTCGGGTACATGTATAAGCATTTCGACCATCGATCATGGCTCCTTACTACGCAGCAAAATAGAAACAGGTATTTGTATTGTTAAAGGAAACGATACCATACCATATCAGAGCTCAAACTTCCCAATTAAATACTTCGTAGCATTGAAGAAGCCAGAAACCACTCTAGCAAAGCATATTGATCAAAATTTACCACTTTAATTACATGATTGAGTATTTCGGGTTTTCGACCAGTGCCCCCTTACTAATCAGGCGACGCAGCAAGATAGAGTCAAGCATTTCAATAATTTAAGGAAGCTATCTCACAACTTTTTAATTCCAAAAACGCTCAAAGTTTCCAAAAACATAACATTAACAATTAATTTTCAAATACAGAAGCAAGATCAAATACTTAAATTCAGACATAATTCAATTTCCCATTTCCCATAAAAATGGATCTAATCAAAAGGCGGGTCAATTCAATTCAATCAAATTACACAAAATTAATAGAAATACAAACAAATTTTAAAAAAAACAACATGAAATTGATGAAATAAGAAAGGGAAAGAACCTTCTCAGAATACTGACAGGAAACGCAAGGACCAGAAGGGGAGCATTCAAAAGTAGTATTCGAACCATCTGGTTTCTCTTTAAACCCTAAAAGTTTCCGACGCCCAAATCCTTCTTCTTCTTCGTTTGTTCTGCTTCACAAATCAGAATTGATAACAACCCATTAATCTACAGACTGAGAGAAAGAGAGAGTGAAGATGGTGGTTGGTCATCGGAACTTACAGTTGGTGGGAGAGAGAGAGTTGCAGAAGCGACGAAATGAGAATCAAAGCGACAAGAAAAGATCGAGGAGATAGAATGCGTATTGCAGATAGACAGTTTATCAAGGAAGCCATGGCTCACGAGTCACGACGGTGATGAAGGATTTGTATAAATATTTTCTGCGCTGCCATGGCAGATCATGACCAGATGTATTCCCTTTCAACTTGTTGTTTATCAACGGGCAAATACGTAACTTCAACTGCTTTCTGAAGGATACATATGTAATTTACAAGATGCTTGAGTTAACTGTGTTCAACTCTAGTTATTTGGGTTAACTCAGCAAGTAATCAACTCCGCTACTTTAACATTTAGCGCCTGTAGTCAATTGTCCGGTTGTGGAAGGAAGTTTATTGCAGTGAGATGGTTGTTCTTCTGTTGTTGAAGGTTTCGACTGGCGTGGTATCAGAAGCTGGAAATTTGGGTAATTATGTGTTAATATGTTATTTAGGGTTTTTTTTTGAAGTGAATGATTTCCCATGTGTTTTTAGTATTATAGTGGATGTAAATATTTTTATTATTTTTTTTTGAAAAATGGTAAGGAGGATCATGACCATACCTCAATCTTTACAATTTTTTTAATCTAATATTTGCTGGTCAGACACTTAGGAGTAGAGGAGAAAGTTAGGGAATCTCTACTCCAAATACCCTCACTTAATAGGATTCAAACCAAACCCCAAACCTCTAGGATTTGAGGTAAGAACTTTACCAAGTGAGTCAATACTTTGTTGGTTGTATTGGATGTGAAATGGTTAAACCTTTTTGCCTATTAATTAGATAGTTCGACATTGTTGGTGACTAGTTAACGTATTTTGTTTGATTTATGCTCTGAAGTTAGGGTTTTTGAATTAGGTAAATGGTTATTTTGGTTAGTGTTTTCAATTCTAAATTGTTCATAACTGTTAATTTCAACAAGTATGTTAAGATTAGTGATGATACATTTATGCAATGTTTGTTGTTAGCTATGAGAGGTTATGGTTTTGTTGATGTGAAATTGGGCTAATTGAAGCAATTTGCCAAAATTGCCGAAACAAAGCCAACAACACTAACAAAACTTGGAAAAGCGTTCAATTACGCAAAAACGACTTGCAAATCTGGTGGTTGAAGGTTGGAATTCATAGTGTTTCGGGGTTTTTTGATGTCCTGCGGGAAAGTTACAATTCCAAGATCGACCTCTGGACGCCTGTACCTGCAAAACAACAGAGACTCCTATGGGTGGAAGTTCCGCCTCCGACGATCAAGTTAGAACGTGTTTGTGGAGTAAAGTGCGGAAAGTAAAGGGTCTCTCTTGGATTCCAAGAGAGTATCTGCAATGTGTAATTGCTCAGTTCGAGGTGTCAGGTATCTGACTTTCTTTGATTGTGAGTTAATGTGTATGCGAATTAATTTTTTCTGAATGATGCTCCTCAGAAGGAACATCTCCCCTTTTATAGGGTGTTGGAAAACATGCCCAGTACTAGGTTTCAGTAAACCTAGGACTGACTGGGCTTTGCCTAAGAATTTAGGCCGTTAGAGGCCAGTTTTCGGGTTGGCTATTTGTCTGCCACGTGTCATGGCCGGATTGGTCCACCCTGGATCTCTCACGAGGTGACACGTGGCAGACTCTGGTTGGTCCACGTAGCGGACACGTGGCAGGGCTTGAGTGGTCCACGTGGCGGGGAAAAATCCCCTAATCATTTGCCTCTCACAGGGGTGACGTGGCATGCCACGTGGCGCCTGTGACAGGTGTCCCGTTATGATTGGCTAACGGTTTTTACCGTTTTTTTTTAACCCTTGAAATTCCCCCCTCCTATAAATAGGGGATGTCCAAATCATTTGGACATTCTAGAAACTTTTTCAGACAGAACTTTGGACTTTTGCTCTGACATTTTGGACGACTGCCGCTTGCTTTCAGACCGTCTGTTCTCAGACCGCCTGCTTCTTCAGCCGCTCGATTTTTTAATAGTTCAGACATCTCTACTCAAAGGTAACCGCCTGTTCTCTTTTGCAACTTTCTCTTTGTTTTTCTTTTTTCAAAAATGGTAACCCAAAAGCACACGACACGACCTAGGTTAGTGATCAGCCGGTCACCGGGGACAGCTGAATCTAGAACTAAGAGTGTCGACTGCCCCATGCTGGACCACCCTTTGCGAACTGCCCCAAGTCCAACTGTCTATGTGTCTGTGTAGGACACCATGGCCAGAACAAATAGAACGACCAAGATAACAAATTCAGACGGCTCCTCATTTTATGCGCCTATTAGCGAGATCTCGGACGTGCCACCAGGAGTCCCAAGCACTCCAAGTGATTCTATTTTGGCAGAATCAGGGGAAGAGGTTTAGAATGACCCTCCTATCATTGATCTATCCGGGCAGGCGGCTGCTTTGCCTGAGAGCTCGAGCGATGACTCTGAGCCCAGCACCTCCAATTGGCACTCCGATGACTTCGAGGAGAAGCACTCTCGTCTACATACAGCGAGAGAAAGTCATGAAGTGGAAAAAGGAGATAAATGGGCAGAGCCTACTGCCACCCAAAGAGACATGTATGCCCCTTACTATTGCCACGTTCCCAAAGGCAAGCGCAGGGCCATGTGTGAAAAGATTGGGAGTTTTAGGGCTGACCATGTAATGGGTCATGGTTATATTCTTACAGTGCCGGATGCCGAGGATACGGTAGTCTGGCCAAAGAAGTCCAGCTACAGGGACGAGTGTTTTGGCTGCTATGAGGCGGCTATTAAAGCTGGTTTAAGATTTCCTCTACATCCGGCTGTATAGAGGATTTTGGATGGGTACCAGCTGGGTCTCTGGCAAATGGCCCCAAACTCTTGGTTCAACATCTTAGGCTATGTTGCCGGCTGTGAGATGCATGAGGTAGAGCCAAACTTTGAAGCATTTGCTCACATGAACAACCTTAGTCGGACCCCAAAAACAAGCGGGACCGATTAGTTCCAACTAACTAGCCACAAGGGCTACATGATGACCATGGGGAAGGAGAACAAGTGGAAGGATTGGAGGAACACCTTCTCCATAGTCTCCCACTCTGACAAGGTCAAGAACAAAAAGTTCAATAGGTGGAACAGGGATCCACCTTACTTGACAAGCGAATCTGATCTACCGCCTGTTCCTTGAAGAGGAAAAGAAGAGATCCTAGACTGAGGGCTCTTCAAATTTGATATTCAAGCGAACCCCGAGACTGGGGTGAGGGAGTTCATCCCTCAAAATTACATCCCAAAGTATAACTGGTTATACGATGGGACATATCTGGCCACCTGCGGCCTTAGCGAGGAGATGCCGAGAGGTGGTGGACCGCATGTTAAGAGTATCTTGAAAGACTTGGCTGATTCAGCGTCTAACCATTTGATTCATCTTTGCAGATAAAGCTATGGACAAAATCTCGACCTCCAAGAAAGTAGTCGCCTAAATCCGCGCGGCCATTCTGGGCAAGTGGTCCACTGAGGAGTCGCCTACCAAACAGGCGCACAGGGTGAGTTACTTTAACTTAGCACAATTTCTTTTTTGTCGCCTGTTTATGACTCAATGATTTGTGTTGCAGAGCAACGTAGCCAAACCTTCCTCCTCTTCTCAGCCGGACCCCAGGAAATAGACAGCTGGGGATGTGTCGACTCTTGGCAACGCCAGGAGACAGGCGGCCGAAAGGCAAGGAAGGACTCCCAAAGCGGGGGAAGAACTGTGGCTACCCCTGGGAGCAGCCGACCTTTGAGAGAGAAAGAGGCGGCGAGAGGTATAATTTGTTCAAATCTCCCAAGTTTCATCAAGAAACCGACTCCTCTGAAATCAGGCGGCTTGTTTTCTTTTTTATGTCGCGTATTAATCAGGGTCTACTTTGCAGATGCCCCTCAAGAGCCGGACCTGGTTCAAATGGCCAAGTCCATGCTGAAGTCCATCCCTGTTGAGGACAGGAAGTCTGTTAAGGGAGTCGACGCCCTTAACCTTGAAGCCATCTTAGCTCTCCTTGCCGAGGTATACTTAGTAAAAAGTTCTCTTTTTTTTTTATTTATTTTTATTTTTTATTTAAATATTTACCTAGTCGCTTGTGACTGACGACTGTTTTTGGCCGAATGCAGTCTATGCTGCGAGTGTATGGTCTCCGCAAACCCATCTCCGAAAAGAACAAAGAGGTAAAAGCTGCGAAGGCCATGGCCGCCTCTGGTTCTGATAAAGCTATGTTCCAGATAGCTCAAAACGAGATTCTGACCACTGACATACTGTATTACCAGGCGTCCGCCACTTTGCAGGTCAAGAAGGACTTAGAGGCGGCCAGGAAGAAGATCTTGGAGCTAGAGAAGTCCGTAAAGGACCTCAAAGCTGAGATGGCGCCTCTCAAGGAGGCAGTAAAGGAAGTCGAGGGACTCCGCGCCCAGGTAAATAAATCAAGGGCCGCTTGTAGAATCAAGAGGATGACCTCACCCAAAAGCTTAATGAGAAAGCTGGCGAGGAGAAGATGACCATTGTCCAGGACATGATGGACGACTGCAGCGCCATTATGAAGATGACCTGGGCGGCCCTCTTCCCAGAGTCCGTCTATGAAAAATGGGAGAGCCAATTCGCCGCCTGTATCGATCAATACAGCAAGAAGATCATGGAGCAGGCAGACAACGAGGAGGATGCGGAGGATGAGGCGTCTGACTCCACTTCCGGGGAGTCGGACCAGGAAAAGGATAACAAGGAGGAGGCGGATGCTGAGGAAGAGCCTCTGCAGGAGGAGGTGGATGCCGAGAAAGAACAGCCGCCGGTTGAGGATTTTAAACCAAGCGGCTGCCGACACTAAACGTCTTCCGAACTGCTTGAACTCCCATATTCTTATATGTCAACTTTCTTCGGCCTGTGTGCCACTTGTTCTGTATCATTACCCGACCAAGGGGTCGGGGTTTATTGACGATTTCAATTTTTAACATTTCCTGTCGGTCTCCAGGCCGACCGTTAATATTAAACATCCGGCCGTTTTTGCCGGTTTCTCCAAATTTTGAAGTTTTTGTGTTTTTTCTTTTCATGAATTTTGCTAAGTGTATGTAGCTTGCTTCTTGTTTTCATGAATGCTTTATATACCGATTGTTCTTGCCCCTAGGCGACTGGCGCCTGGTTTTCGAAGGTGAGTTGATTGACTTGGAATTTTTGATACTTTGAGTATTACTAATTCTAGGTCAATCAATCACTATGGTGATTGCCTCAAACCAGGCGGTCAGTCGGTCATTTCCCAGGTGAAAACCTAGCATAACTCGGCTCTCGACCTTATAGTAAACCGCAATATACTAAGTTTGTACTTAGTTTATTTTATTGATCGTAAATAGTCCATCTTCTTGGTGCTTGTACAGAACAAGAGCCAATCTGGATGTTTTTAATCAAAGTAGCTTCCACGGTGTTGCTAACCTAACACTACTAGAAATAGGCTTATTTCCGAGGGAAATATTCCGACGGAATATAATTCCCTCGGAAAATTCAAAAATTCCGGCGGAAATTCTAGTTGTAGGAAAAATCCGTCGGAAAAGTTACATATCGACGGAAAATTCCCTCGGTAGCCTTCCGACGGATTTATTTCCCTCAGAATATTCTGGTTCCGACGGAATATTCCCTCGGAAACGCTTCCGAGGGAATAATTTCCGTCGGAAGCTTAGAACAATTAAAAAAAAAACACGCGTTTTACAGAATAGAACAGAAACACAAAAACGCAGACAGAGAAAGGGAGAGCGAGACAGAGGAAGAGGAAGAGGAAGAGAGAGAAAGGGAGAAGGAGAAAGAGGAAGAGAGAGAGGGCCAC